AAAGTGTAGAAGTAAGGTATCTTATTACCTAACATATATGAACAGAGTATATCAGATATATATAGAAAGAATACAAGCACATGATTCATGATATCAGAATACAAGTCAAGCATATACAATACTTCAAACTCTAAACTCAGATTTATCCTGTCAGCTGTGCTATTCAGGAACAAACCTTCACTGATCATATCACAACTTTTAGAATTGGTATAAATGAACCTATCATGCCTGATCTTATTCTCAACAAACTGCAACTACACATCTAGAATTAACTAACAGCTTTACCTACTCTAGAGCCAGAGCAGTAGCACGTGATATAATATTTAGTTGCTGATATAATATTTCTATAGAAAACTCTAAAAATATTGTCGAAACCCTCCTAGTTAAATATACTAGATATATTCTACAATCTCATCTCTCTTTTGGCTTTGAAGCCACAGCTTTTGACACCTATATTAAATTTCTAACTAGTGCCTCTACCCTCAATCATTATTTAAATAGAACCCCAGAAGAAGCTTTAGGTGATCTTGGTTCTCCTATCCCTAACAAATATACTAGTAGCTTTGATTATTTTGAATATAGCCTTATAGTTAGTCAATACTCAATAGACCCAGATCAAGCTACAACTTCTTCATCTACTATTACTCCTTATAACGAAGATACTACCCAAATCCAATTTCCCCTACAAGATAGACTACAAACTCTAACCCTACCTCTAACTGATATCCCTCTCAGACCCCCTATTTATATACCTCCTTCTTAATTCTTCTCTACTCCTCTTACTAATACCTCTAACTAACAGTATTTTAATTTTAATATTAATCCTCAAACAGCAATAACTAACTTTATTCCTCAGTTTACTCCTACTACTATCTCATCTAATAGGAACCTTTTGATCCCTAGAAATTATCCTCAAGCTAACTTAGACCTCGATAACACTTCTTCCTCACACTATACCCTACTCAACTCTCTACCTCCTTATCAACTAACTCAACTTCCAAACCAAGCTAATCAACTCTTCGATAATATAATCCAAGTCTTAGACAACTTTGAAATCGATCACTATCCTCTAAATAATCAGGAAAATCAAGAAGACTATAATCTTGATAATTTCTTTAATATTGATAATAATAACCAAGAAGCAGAAAACTAACAAGAATGTTTTATTTAATTTATATATACAACCGTAAATTATATTGTAAGTCGAATATGTAATAACTTTGCTTATTTTTTTTCGAATATAGGCGGTCCAGTTTATATTCGTCCATGTGTTAAAGTATCCTTACCTTTCATGAAACACGATCTTGGTTCTGTCACATCTTTGTTATTGGTCCCTTCGAACGATGATAATGTGGAACTACCAGTAACACCTTTGGTAGATCATGAAGCTTCCAATATGGAAAAAGCTTTAACTCAAACTCCTAGGTTATTATTAAAACGATTTTTAAAATTACAACAATTATTTCACATGAATCTCTAAATAGATTTCTATTAATAGTACATCATGCATCAAACTTGAATCCGACGGCAAATTTTTCATCATACTCTTGGAAGAGATTTATCAACTCAATTGTCTTCAAAAACAAAATCAAGACAAATTTCTCACTAACCTACAAAATTTACAAAAATTATTAATCGATGTAGTAAGTTAACATTATTTTTAACTTTATTCGGTTAAAAATACAAGGTCAATTAACATAAAGTTATTAATTTAAATAGACATCACCTTTTAAGAAAGATTTATATACTTGGCGTAAAATATTTCAAATTTATATTGAAGATAAAATTTTTGTTGGCAATACCGAAGCTGACAGAAAAGAAAGAAATTGGAAATTTTCTCAAGAGCAATTAGCTTGTTTTATCGATAAAGTAAACAAAGACCACTTGGTAAGCTTATTTACATGAATATTTAGGTTTTGTTTATAAAAAAAAAAATTATATGTTATTTAAGTAAAATTGCTTACAGATTAAAAAGCTAAAAGATCCATTATCCAAAATCGCTTTTGAAAAATTCTTGAAGGTACATATTTTATATATAACAGAAAATACATTAATCACGTGACCGTTGTTTTAATGCATTATTATTATTTTTTTTTTTTGATGCTATAGCTCAATAATAGTCTTATCTCGATGAAACAATTTCAATATCTTAACCAAGTAACAATGTCAAAAATTCTTAAAAAGCATGACAAAAAAACACATCTAAAGTAAGTTGTTTTTTTTTGCTCTAATTGATTTAAACATAATTCCTGTGTAACTAACTGTAGATTTTTCAGTTCGATTTCAGACTTCAAACATTTAATGGAGAAGGATTCGTTTCTTTCCGAGAGTACTTTTAAATCTCTTTGCTATGAATTGGTATACATTCATTTATTCATATTTATGCATATTTTTTTCAAGAATATATATGTGCATATAATAATAATAATAATAATAATAATAATAATAATAATTGTTTTATTAATATAAATAGGAACAATTAACAACCATTATTCCTCAACTCGACGACTACAACTGCCCTATCTGCCTGAGTAAGTTTTTTTTTTTAAAAAAAAAAAAATCTTTCCTACAATAACTTTTTTTTTAAATTATATCAATATTGATTATTTAAATTGTAGATATCGCCTGGAAACCTATTCGTCTTTGTTGTACGCATGTATTTTGTGTTAGATGCCTGGTTAAATCTATACGTAAACGCACGCGTAATTGTCCAGTCTGCCGGGCAAAAAATGCTATATATAATGCGGATGAAAGTACGTATATCAATTACTAATTATAGAAACATATCATATATTCTAATAATTTTAATATTATTTATTAGCCAACTTGGACGTATGTCACATGAATTTCTTATCCCTTTACTTTCCACGTGAAGTGTACAAAAAACAAAAAGAAGACGATCGAGAACGAATTGCTGAAGAAATGGAAGCTATAACAGGTCTTAGAATTGATGAAAGACAAACATGTGTATTACTATAAAAAATGAATTCTCTATATTGGGTTGATAGATTCGATAAAGTATTCAACCTTCCAATCGTTTTTATCTAATTATAATTTTTTTATTTACCATATTTTTAATCTTTTAAACACATAATGTATTCTATTCCAAATTTATCATACAGCGTTGTATGAATTGTATTTTTAAATTTTTTTCACGGGTAATATTTATTATTTCCATATTTCAATCCTTTTTTTATATTCAAATTGAGTGGGTACCTTTATTTATAAGCTAAATATTTCACACATACACTTTAAGATTATATCGTATATATATTGATTATGTAATATTTAAGATTATATTTGTATCTATATGATTATTGTATATTTAAGATTATCATGCTATATTTTTTTTTCTACCTTTATTATAAGTTGTATTATAAGTTTTTAAAAGAATTTATTGTATTTTTATTCAAACTTGTAATTTAAGAAAACACCAATAAAGTTATCGTTTTATGATTTTAATTATAATAGGCTGGGTGAGCCAGGTCATTTGAAGGTCTCTATCTGCTAGTCTCTTCTCATAATTATACGGATAATCCTTTTATACCGTATGAATGCATCTATTTCTTACAGGCAAATATGCTTACGGATTTTCGGCAAATCGTATATAAATATATCGATATTACTATATTAGGATATACACATGTATTACGTATTATAATTGAACAAATCAATCATTCAAAAGCTTTCTAGCACTATCCAATACATTCTTTCTAAGCAGTTCTTAACAGTTGCCCTTCGTTGGTTTAATGGAACACAGAGGGAGACAATCTTGAATCTTTTATGTATCTGAAGTAAAATTTTATTTAGTAATTCATAATTTAGGACCATAATTTAGGACCATGATTTAAAATTACATATTTATAAATTTTATTTAGATTCGTATATTACATAAAAATGTGCGTAACATTTAGAGAACTTTCGATGCACCAAAAAAATGCTGTCTTTCTGTCTTTTTTTACTTTACTTTTCAGATTCCCTTCAGAAGTCACATTTATTATCACATGAATGGCGCAAAATACCCAATGATATTTAATACACAACATTGCATCTTTATTCTGTATTTAATTTTCAAAATTTCGGAAAGCCCCGATCTAATGATAATTAAAAAAAATATATAGTTTGTTTTATTTTTGAATAATTATCTTTAAAGGACCATAACCTTTGATTAATGTACAATGGCTAGTGCTGTAACCGGGATAATTTTTTTCACTTCACCGCTAATCTTAAAAAGTTTTGTACACCTTATATGTTATCTTTTGTCGGGATTTTGCGTATCAATAAATATGATTACATAATTTATTCCAAAAGGTGTTATATGCAATTAGATTTTAAAAAGTTCTAAATTCAGTTCAATAAGATAATTTAAGAATTGAAAAAATTTTTTGATTAAATTTTAATTTGTTCACTTTAGGTTATTCAAAATAATTTCCCAGGGCGTCATTTTGATAATTATGAAATTTTATTATATTATTACACAATTAAATTAAATAAAGTTATATATTACGTATAAATAAACACAAATTAATTTTGTAACTTTAAATTTGTTAAAAGAATGATTTCTAATCTGTTGTTAGAACGCCAGAGGGTCAAGGTCCAAGGACCTACAACCTGTAATAATCAGGATACTTCATTATATAAAACGCCAATGATGGTTATCACTGGTCAAAAAATTATATTTTTACTAGGACATATATTGTAAAATATAGTACTAAATCTTTACTTAATTACTTGGTATATTTAAATATAATTACCATATTTTAATAATATATTATCTAATAAAAAATACCACCTTTCTACCAGTGTATGGTAAAAGAAACCAAATTAAAACATGAACAAATGATAACGATAAAAGATGCTATAATTACATGTCGATATATCGAGATACAATATGAAGTATACAATATTACAGATTATATACAGGATCGGTATATTATCGTGCAGATTTCAATTTCTCGTGACCGTGATTGACCAATTAAATTAATGTATTTTTATATACCGCATTTTTCAAATCTACAAAAAAAAAAAAAGTTTTTTTAATTAATATTAAACTGGGTTCTGCAAATCTGTCGGTCAATTTTTTTTTTTTAAAAAAAAAAAACACCTCTATAAAGAGTTATAGCTATTGGAAAATTGCTTTTTTTTGTAGAGCTCAGTTTAATGTACAAAATTATTAATTGATTTTTTTTTTAAAAAAACTTTTTTTTTCTGTGAAAGTTTTAACGATTTGAAAAATATTATACTTTTGAGTCAAAAGTATAATATTTTTCAAATCGTTAAAACTCACAGAAAAAAGTTTTTTTTTAAAAAAAAAATCAATTAATAACTAGAGATTGGAACCAGTCAAAAAAATTATGACCGGTGTAAAGGACTAATTTGACCATCTGGAATACTGCGCTTCGGCATAGCACAATGTACTATTTTTAATTCATAATACAGTATATGTATAATTCCTATTTGTATATATTTAGCTTTTTTAAGTATAGTAGAAGCCTCACCGTAGTTTAGTGCTTGCTAGTTTTAATTAGAATCCAAATTGGGCTTTGTAAATTATCATACTTTGCTTTACTCAGGATGATGTTTGCAGCCTGTATTTTATAAAATACTATTATTTAAATATACAAGTTAGCTTGTAAATATTTTTTTTATTTATTGCTTTATACATTTTGTTTTTTATAATATTCAAATTATAGTTTTGATTTTTTTAATTGAGATCTATATTTTTAAGTGTTTGGCTAAATTTGAAACTTTTTTTGGCTTGTTTATTGTCTATAGTAATTGTTAACAGATTTTTGCTTTTTTTTTTTTTTTGTTTTGTTAATATTTATAATTATTATCTCTAATTTTTTGCTATTAATTTTTATATTATTTATCTTATAAAACTTATTTGAGATATGTATTAATTATTTTTGAACTTTTTTTTAATTTAGCTATTAGATTGTATTATCAATATAAGCTAATATTATTTGCTAATAATATATTTTTTTGGTCTTATTAAAAACTAGATCAACTAGTTAGTTTGTTATTATTTAATACTTTAAATTCTTTATTTTTTTTTTATATTATACAAAGTAATAAGATTATAAAATATATATTAAATTAGAGATAAAATTACTTTATTTTAATTAATTTTATTTTTTGTTTTAAATTCTCTTATTAAAAAAGCTTATAATAGCTTAGTCTTTAAAATAAATTTTATTTAATTTCTAATAATTTGATTTTTTTAAAGTATTTTTAATCTTATAAAGTTAAATATTCAATATATATTTTTAAAAAAAATTTGCAACTCATTATTTTTTTGTTTTGTATTTTTAAATATATTATTTATTATATATACTAGACTTGTTATACTATTAATTAATAATTTAGCAAAGTTTAATCTTTTTATTAATATATTAGAAATTAATTAATTTTTATTTCAAATAATAATTATTTATAATTATTATTATAAATTTATATAATATAATTATACAAAATAAACAAAGAAATATTCATACTAGAACAGCTTTTAGATATTACAGAAAGTTATCTGCTAATTTAGAATTAACTTAAATATATAAGAAGTAGAAAAACAAAAAGATATACTTCAAGCTAGTTCAAAAAACTCAAAGAGAGAGTACTAAAAGAAAATAGCTTTAGAAAAATACAAGACTCCTATAAAGTGCCTAGTCTTAATAAAGAAGCAATCAAAATACAGTTATAAGATATCTTTAAAGAAAGATAAAAAAAAGAATAGATACTTTTCAAAAGAAAAGAAAATTTTTATATTAGAAAAATAGTAAAGAAAACAGAAAAGTTTATAATAGCTAAGTACTAAAATTATATAAGCTATTCAGTAGTATACTCTTCATTTGCTAAATATAATTACTGCAAAATAGAAAACTCTAGTAATAATAAATATCTAGTTAATATTAGATATAAAAAATGGTACCAACTCATAAAGATAAGAAAAAAAAGTAAAAATAAAGTAGAATTGAAAGCACCATTACTTGCATATACTGAAAAGAAAGAATTGTACTCAAATCATAATACAAGCCAAGAGGTATTAGTAAAAAGTATAGTAGATAATCTTAAAAGTGCAATTATACAAAAAATAGTAAAAAACAAAAAGATCGAAAAGAGTTAGTAAATGTATATAAAGAGCTAAAAAAGAAGAAGATTATTAGATACTATTTAGATAATATATTAGTAAGAAGTAGTAAAGAACTAGAATTAAGTAAAATAAAAGCAGAATAGATAGTTAGAAATAAAGAAGAAATAGATAGTAATATTAATTTTAATTGTAGTATAGAAAATTAGCCTTTATTAACTTGTGCAGAATTAGAAACTATTTGAATAGCTTTGCTAGCAGTATCCTGCAGGTCCTAAGCATATATATTTACTAATAGCAAAGTAGCAATAGAAGCTATTAAAAAATGTATAAATAATAGCAAATTGTGAAGTTGGTTTAAGATGAAAAATAGAAGCTTACTAAAATAGATAAAAGATTGCTATATAGCCAAAAGCCTAAAACTGTTATTATACAAAGTAAAAGGTTATAGTAGTAACAAATAAAATAATCAAGCAGATCTTTTAGCAAAAAAAGATATTAAGAGAACTAATATACTTGAAATACCTGAGACAATACTAGGTAATCTCTGAGCTATACTTAAGTAGAAAAATCAAATAATAGAGTGCTCACTCAGATCATTCATAAATATAATATCTATAATAATATATAAAACAGAATAAGCTAGTCTAAGTAGAATAGCAGATATTATAATCTCAAATCAAGAAGCTAATATTAACAAAAAGCTAAGTTAGAAAAATATTTAAGAAGCACTCAAGAAATAGCAAGAGAAAAAATACATTAGCCTAAAGAAAAGCAAAGACCTTATATTTTGCATAAAATATATTAATAATATTTTATCAACAAAAGATATTTGTTATAAAACTTCAAACTATATAAGAGTCAAAAGTGTATAGCCTGTTTTAGAGAA